TCTTATACAACATCAATGTTTTCTCCTTCAAAACGACATCAGACCAGGTATAAAGAATACTTACATAAGATTTACTTTAAACCTACGTAGGTACCTTATGGACCGCCAGAATAAACATTTATACTTCCGGAAAATCCCACTTGAATTCATTGCTGATACTTCTCAAATTCAAACTTGAAGAAAGTAGGACAACCAGTTCTATTTTGGCGGAGTTTGTCAACTTCACTAATCAGACAATGTTAACAATTGGTCAGTTTGGACCGGTTAACTCTCTGAATGAAAGTTGAACCTAACATCAGGACAGGAACAATCCTGTATAAAAACGTGGTTGCAGGTTGATCCCTGAAAATTTCACTTGGGTAATGTATTGTTCAGAGCACTTCCGGTGCTCAGCGGGTTAAAAATGGATGTTGAACTTGATCCTCACGATCTTCCACAGGAACTAAGTGAAATCTCTTATGAAGCTAACCACGAACTAGTGTTGCGCTGCATACAGTTTCTCTCTTCGCTTCCCTGTACCTGAGACACCCGAAGATGTACAACAATTACATTTCTCAATCTGGCAAACGTCTGTAAACGTTCACCGGCGTCAACTTGTTTTTGCTGGGCTGAAAACAACCGTCTGATCAATTAGTGCATGCCCATGTTAGAAAACGATTTTACAAACATTCGCTAGAAGCTTTACGTAGAAAAATTGAATAGTCGTACAGTCAAAATGATGCATGTCCGATGTAAATAAGCGCTAGGAAACCATTGTTTTAGAACAGAAAATTCGTAGGTAATGGGCTGTATCCCAAACAGCCCAATCAAGATAGCTACCTCCCGGTGTCAGCCAATCAGAAAATAGGTCACCGGACAGCAACCAACAAGAATTAGAGGTATCAATGGTCTTCTTTTCTATCTGCAATCCAAGCAAAACTTGTACAGACGGACAAGTATTACATGTTAATTGACCAAAACGTTTCTAATACAGTGAATATGCATCTTAGGACACATAACAACAATAGTATAGTGCACTGGACTGACTAACCTCCGAAAGGTTCCAGTTTTATACTAACAGTCAAAGTACGAGAACAAGTCATCGGTAATCCCAGACAGACACACAGGGAGAAATGTACAATGCAGGTGAATAAAATATTCTCCATGTTTGAGTAACGTCGCCGATATATAAAGGTTCGCTAATAAGTCGAATGTGTAAAGAATAGCGTGGAACACTATAGTGAAAGGTGTTATTTAACAAGTTCACCATGGTAGTCACTTGGTCTACGACAATCAACCTTGAAGATAATGACCATGTTCTCACAAATGTTTTGATACTGTGCCAACCGGTGCAAACCAGTAGATGATAGGGTAACTCAAACGAAATTAACTCGATAACCAGAGTAGATAAGATGAATTGATAAAAATACTGTCATTGTATAATCCGAACAGTTCAGAGTCATCCTTAGACTTACCAAAAAGGAAGTTAGTTTAATTTTTTTCAGACGGTGAAATTTTGCAACGAATGTGAACGGATCATAAAGAGTTTTATTAAAATAACACGTAAACAACAGTCGTATGTTAACGAAATAAATATATCACTTAGTCTACCAAGCAGATCCAGCTGTTTAATCTACACACCGCACGCAAACTGGTAATTTCATGCTCCTATTCTCCGACAACATCTTGTCTGGCTCAACTGTGAAGATAATCTGACGCCGTGACATATTTTACAATCAACAGAACTTGAGTAGTTCGCTCGTGAAAGGGTCGGTTCAAGCGAACTTAGAAAGTGTTCAGCCATGCGTTAATGTAAGCGCTGAGCCGTTCTGTTTATGCTAGCATTAATGCTATCGCAATCACTGGTTCACCATACACAGGGCAGATTGGTCGGTAGAGTAATCAGTTGTGAAATGGAATGCCAAAACGAAACAAACAGCAAACTTCGATTTATTTATCGAACTGTTTCCCTTTGGTTTGTCAATAACTAAACAAAGTGGGTAATCCGCATATTGCAGTATGAAATTTGTGCCGTTTTACTCTGTGGCAAGTTTTCACGAATGAGCAAACTGTTATGTGAAAACAAGCAAACAATAGCACATTTAGACATACGTCTGGAAGTAGGGTGTTTAATCTAAACTGCTTCTAATGATAACTTTCACATTCTGTTTTAAAAGAGGTATGCAGGATTTGAATACTGAAGATGATCTATTGATTTATCATCTACTCTAAACTAGCAACTCTGAAAAATCGATTGACGAAAGGAATCATTTCGTAAGATCTCAATACAATAATCCTCCTATGAAGAAACACACTCGTTTAGGAAACAGTTTTACTTAATTACAGAATCTCTTCGCCAGGAACAGTAGGCAAGACATACTTCAAGGTTTTAAATGAACGTAGTCTGTTTCATGAAGAAACGATAACCTGACTGAATCAAGCTTAGTAACTCATTGACATCACACCAGGCCACTAAATTGTATAAATCCCTTGGTACCTAATCTTCATGCGTTGCCCTGGTAAGTCAAAGCCTGATCTACGACCAATCAAGTAACCGAGTTTGTGGTTTACTCAGCAATAGTTTGGTAAGTTGAACCATCCTAAGCCAGATTCAATCCACTAATCACAGGGAGATGCAAGCAGCATATATTAGGGCTACCTCCTTATGAAGGTACACGCATAGTGTACAAGATTTGCTTTTCAAATCTGAACACCTCGACTTATTGACTCTAGTGAGGCAATAGCAATACAATCTAACGATACATCAAATGGAAAACAGACAGAAGCAAACAACATTTGA